GGGGGGAGGGCGGGGGACCCCCCTGAGGTAGGAGTTGGGGCTGCCAGAGGGCCTTGCAGGAGATGACCAGTGGGTGCCCAGGGCCGGGTGGGGGTGGGGACGTGGCTTGCGGATGGGGTGACCCAGGAAGCCGCGTCCCACTCGTAGGGACCCAGTCGTTTGGCACCCTCCTCCCCCAGCGGTGCTCGTGGGTCCCCAGGCGAGCCCAAGAAACGCAGGTGAAGGACGCGGGTCACACGCGCCAGAACGAGAGTGGGAGCACACCGGCAAGCGCACACCCACCCCGCCGCACCGGGGCCCCGAGGGCGTGAGCCCTCGCGCGGCCAGCCACAGGGTCCCTGGAGGCGCATGCCCACTTGCCCTTAATCCTGGGGGTCACGGGGCTCCCGCACCCCCTAGCTGCCCCCCAGTCCCCATCTTTCGGAGCCTGGACTTTTCTTCTTGTGTTTCCACAGGGAGCGGCGCGGCGCGCGACTGTTTATGGAGCTCTGGGCTGGGGCTGAGCCGGCGATCGTGCCCCGAGCCCGCTGTCCAGGCCATGCCCCCGCCCCCGCGCGAGGAGCCGCGGCCACCAGGCCTCTGGGGCTGATCCCGGAGCCCGGAGAAGAAGGGGCGCCCGCGGCGGGCAGCGCGGCGGACCCAGTACTATGGCTGTGTACTGCTATGCGCTCAATAGCTTAGTGATCATGAATAGCACCAACGAGGTAAAGAGCGGTGGCCCCGGCCGGGGCCCCAGCGGTCCCGAGACGCCTGGGTCCCGGGGGCGGACTTTGCTGAGCCCCGGCAGCGTTTTCAGCCCCGGGAGAGGCTCCTCTTTCCTCTTCCCTCCAGCGGAGTCGCTGTCTCTGGAGGAGCCTGGGAGTCCCGGGGGCTGGCTGAACAGCCGGCGCCGGCTGAGCAGTAGCAGCAGCAGCGGCGTGGGCAGTCCAAGTTGGGCGGGTCGCTTAAGAGGGGACGGGCAGCAGGTGGTGGCTGCCGGTCCCGTCTTCTCACCCGGGCCGGAGGAGGCCAGGGGGAAGCTGCGGATCCTGCAGCGCGAGTTGCAGAACGTGCAGGTGAACCAGAAAGTAGGCATGTTCGAGGCGCACATCCAGGCGCAGAGCTCCGCCATTCAAGCGCCCCGCAGCCCGCGTTTGGGCAGGACTCGCTCGCCCTCCCCGTGCCCCTTCCGCAGCAGCAGCCAACCCCCTGGAAGGGTCCTGGCTCAGTGCAGCCAGAGCGAGGAACGGAGGACAAAGTCCTGGGGGGAGCAATATTCAGAGACGTCAGAGACCGACTCGCAGAGGAGAGGAAGGGCTCTCAGTCCGTGCCCCACGAAGGACAAGGAGGGTATGGTGGCACCTGTCCCCACTCGGGCCACACCGACAGGATCAGGGGCTCAGGGGCCAGCTACATCAGCGAGAATGGAGAAAAGGTCCCCTGACAGTCCCCCCTGTAGCACAGCCAAAACTGTGGACATTGACCTGAGGGCCTCTCAAATGAGCTACCAGGCTCTCTCCTTGGGCCTGGACAGAGCGAACTTTGTGGTGACCACAGAAGTGACAACGGGAGCCACTTCCATTGGGTCACACCGTTCACAAGATCTTACCTTCATAGAACTTGGAGGTGCGCATTCCCAAGAGACTATGGTGCAAAAGCAGCTGCCTTCTCTGGGCAGTGAGAGAAACCCAGCCGTGGATAGCAGCTTGCCCAGAGGTGGGGAGCCCCCTGAGAAAGTGGGGAAAGGAAATCTATCATGTGGCATGCTGGGCTCCAGGGTGCCTGAAGCCCTTGAAAGGCTGGAGGAGATGACCGTGAACTCGCCAAGCTTGGAGCCCTCTGAGGTCTGGAGGTGGCCAAGACAGGCTGGAAACCTAGGTCCCAAGGAGACCCCAAGTGGCACCTGGCTGGTTGGGGGGCCTCAGCAGAGCTCCCACAAAGGGGAGGATGAGTCTCCGAGGCTCAGTTTGTTTGGGGGCAGCCACTCCACCCCACTGGGGACCCAGGAGATGGAGGTGGGGAAGCCCTCTGAAGGAATGCTGGAGCCTTTGGCCTGTTTGGGAACAAAAGATCTGAAGGAACCTGGCCTTTCTAGGGTCAGGGTGGGTGTGCAGCCTGGCACCCCCATAGTTTGTCAGGGGCCCGTGGAAGAAACAGGTCTAACTCGGAGGTGCGACACTGGGATACAGGCCGAGAACCCTTGGGAGAGCCAGCAGCAGAACAGAGATGCCCAAGGGATGCCTGAGCAGCTGTCTGCAGGTCAGAAGGACCCACCTTCCCAGCGGGAGGTCTGCAGCCCCAGTGCTATCCCTGCTGTCATCATTACAGACCTGGGCGAACAGGAGGAAGGGGGATTGGAGGAAACACAGGGAAGCCCTCGGGGCACACTGCCCCTGAGGAAACTGTCCTCTTCCTCGGCCTCCTCCACGGGCTTCTCATCCTATGAGGACTCAGAGGAGGACATCTCCAGTGACCCTGAGCGCTCCTTGGACCCCAACTCTGCCTTCCTGCATACCGTGGACCAGCAGAAGCCCAGAGTGGTAAGTCTCACCCTGTGGCTTTCCCCGTGCTGGTGTGGCATTCAGCAGGCCTCTGGTGCTTTGTGTGTACTTTGTTTTTCTAATTTCATCCTGCATCAGGAAGACTATGATCCAGGCCCCTCGCTCCAGGTGTGTTTGCTGGGTACATGTCGCATGCAGTGTCTTGCTTGGATTGACTGGCTTCTGTGTTCAGTCACTTCCACGGCTAGTCCCATGCCCATGCTAAACATGATTTGTTAAGGCACCGTAGGTAGGCTCGAAAGCCCTCGTGGATGCTAACCACAGCATCAGCACATTGAAACAACCAGCTGCCTTGCTGGAGAAAGATATGAGGCGTTCTACTTCTGTCGAGAGTTATAGTCTTGGAAACTCACGGGGGCAGTTCTGCCTTGCCCTATAGCAGTGGTTCTCAATCTGTGGGTTGCAACCCCTTTGGGGGTCGAATGACCCTTTCACAGGGGTCGCCTGGTTCATAACAGTAGCAAAATTACAGTTATGAAGTAGGAATGAAAATAATTTTATGGTTGGTGGGGCGGGGGAGTCACCACAACATGAGGAACTGTATTAAAGGATTGCAGCATTAGCAAGGTTGAGAACCACTGACCTAATAGGGTCTCTCTGACTGGAAATCCACTTGATGGTAGTGAGTGTGGTTTTTTTGGTTCAGTGATCTTGCAAGGCATCAAAACGTCCCGAGGAATCCTCAAAGACAGTGAACAGCAGTGTTGTGTGTAGCTTTTGTCCGACCAGGTGAAACATTGCATTCTGATTCATTCGGTGAAGAAGTGATAAAGGGGCTAGTTAATTAGCTCGGCCCTCACTCACAGGGCCAGTTCTACTCTGCTCTAAAGGGTCCCTGTGAGTCCGAATTGATGGTAGCGAGTGAAGTTTCCCCCCCACTCATGTGCTGTGTAGGAAAGACGAGTGTTCGGATTAGGTGAGGGTGCTCTGGTGGCATAATGGGCGAAGAGTTGGTTTTCATTAGGTGGCAAGACCCTGAGACCTGTAGATGCAGAAGTGACTGTGGTCCAGTAATGGGGTGAGGGACCACCAAGCTTCAGTACCTGAAGTGAGAAGAACATTGTAAGACCAGTGGAGCCGAGGTAACTTTAGGCAGTTTGATGTCAGTAAGAGGAAAATCATGCTTTGAACGAAGCAGACGGTTTCTTTAGTGACACAGACTGCGATGTACGGTTGAATTGCCGGTATAAACTCCAGGATGCTATCTCTAGGGTAGCTGGATAGGCTGGTCAACCCGAGTGGGTACATTTCAGGTGCATTTTTATGTGCCTGTTTTGATTTATCATGTTGACACGGTGCACCGGCTGTGGCAGTAGACAGGACGTTACTTTTATGACATAGTTATTTTCAGTCCTAGGTTGCTTTCACTATTTGATGGCTACACAAGCCCGAAGAGTTGAAGCTAGACTTTCTGAGAAACATTTCCTTCTCTTCGCTGTTCTGTGTGCCGGGAAATTCCTTGTTCGGTCTCTTGTACTTCTGAACGGCCGAGCATGGGGGGTTATGCTGTCTCAGAGTAGCCTTCAGAGTTCATGATAGTGAGGGGTTATTGTCGTAGGTAGCCTTCAGCTTCATTCTGAATATCAAATGCTATTAACTGGACCACAGTACCTTTCACGACAACAATTGAGAGATTTTTATGTCCACTCTATGCCCCTCTCAAAAGTATTTTGGACTTTGAAGTTCATTTCTTTCTTACTGGTGGTGCAGTGGTTATGCGTCCGGCTGCTAACGGTAAGGTATCCAGTTAGAAACCAGCTGCTACTTGGGAGACTGACGAGGCTTTCTACTCCTGTAAAGAGTTCCAGTTTTGGAAGCCCACGGTGGTAGTTCTGCCCTGTCGCAGAGGGCCGCTCTGAGTTGGCATAGACTCCAGGGCAGTGAGTCTGGCTTTTGGCTTTGGAGTGCCACGGAAATCACAGCCTCAATTTTGGAAGACCAGTCATTTCACGAAGCTCTGCTTTCTGCTGGTTATCTGGAGGCAAATGTGTATGCAAAGTTTAGCCCCAGTCCACCTGGAACGTTGTGGCTAGGAGAGGGCCCAGGCACACTGCACCTGCTGTGAGGACCAGGCACCCCACCTTTAGAAGGGGGCGGGTGCATTTGGAGGGGCGGGACGTGGTGGAGAGCCCAGATTGCTCTGCCTTCTTGAGCAGCAATTAGAGGCTTAGTAAAGAAGAGATGGCCTCCTGTTGCTCTCCTCAGTGACGTTTACAGTCCTGACGCACAGCCTTCCCAGCCAAAGTCCTCTCCAATTCTTTCACCTTTTCTAGTGCTGGGTTAGCAGCGCTTAGTGGCTGGCTTTCCAAACAGTCTCTAGGTCTCCCGATGTTGTTGGAAGGGCTCTTAACAGGAAGTGAGCTTAAAGGGAGCTAAATAATGACAGGTGGTATATATTTTTTCATTTGCCAGAGGGATGTCAACTGAAAAAGCCAATGGGTTAAGTTCAGTGGTATTTTCCAGTTAACTAGCAGATCCAGAAGTCGAAATGAGGCCTGCTTGTGGCCCACCTGGATTCCACTTGGAAACAGGTTTTTAAACACCTATAGAAGAGAGCTAAGGAAACAGAAAATTTCACCCCTGCCAGTTTCATCCATTAAATCAGGTGAGGCTGATTGGAGGGAGTGGGTGTGGGGCTGGGGTGGGGGAGAGCACACGCGTGTGCCTAAGCCTGTGTGGTTGTGTGGGTGGGCGACAGGGTAGTGGGAGAAGTAGCAGGTAGCTATGGGATTTGGGGATCTTGGGACTTTGGAGCTGTTGGCTAAGTGCTTGCATGATCAGCTACATTTCCCCCCTTATACAGATTGTTAGGCTTATCTGTATGACACCAAAACATCTGTGCATTGGGTCAAAAAACACTTGATTACTTAGATACTTTGTCTACAGAAGGCTAGACATCTTGACTAAGCCGCGTGGGCCTTTTGGTTGGGCTCTTCAGTGTTTTGTAGATAAAGCCAGAGCCAGGCAGCGCTGTCTGGGGCTCAACAATACGTTCCCTGCTCTGGACTTTGCTGTTTTGGTGTGTACCGCTGCATGTGCACACACACTCACACCTCTTTCCACACAGGCTCTTCCATATACCCCGGTTTGAAACTGCATGCTCAGCTTTCTAGTCACACATACCAACCCCCTCCTAACCCTCAGACTTCCTACTGCCCTACCTTCCTGGGTGGCCCAAGTGGTTAAGTGCCCTGCCATTTGCTGACAGGTTGGTGATTCAAACCCACGCAGCGGCACCTTCTAAGAAAGGCCTGGTGATCTACTTGTGAAAGATCATAGTCATGAACGTCCCGTGGACGTCAGTTCTCCTCTGAAAGACATGAAGTCTTGGAACCAACTTCATGGCAACTGGTTAACTGATTTGCTTCCCACCTTAACCCGCTCTTGGCTCTTGGGGCAACCTCTTTGCAGAGGACTGACTGTGCGGTGATGTCTGCAGGTTGGGGAGAGAGCCTAGGGGAGAGCTGAAGCCCATCCTGCTGTCTGGTCTTTGCTGTAACTCCTCATCCTTGGGCATAATTAATCAGAAAAATAGAGAATTCAGAAGACCTTGCTCTAGTGAAAAATATAAGGTGACAAGCAAGTTGTTTGGGGACAAACTGAAAAATTGCGTAGTTCATTTTTGTATGAAAATTAGCAAAGGCCTCTTTTACTAGAAGAACATGTGGTAGAAATCAAGCTTCTCATGTGCTTTTGAGAATTGAAAACCCCGAGCCCATGGCTTGCAAATCAATTTAACTCAACACAACCCTCTAGGACAGTGAGAAAGGACCCGGGGGATTTCCCCGCCTGTAATTCTTACAGCCACATCTTTCTCTCTTGTGGAGTGGCACGTAATTACTAAGACCTGCAAGGACATCTTCAGGCCTGTTTTCAGCTTTTGGTGAGCCTGGCAGATAGCTCTGAATTAGAGTGTGCCAACTCCCAGGCACTTGAAATTTACTTGGTGTGAAGTAGCTTCAATGTCTCCTCGGGCATCATTCGCACTTACTGTTTTCTGAGACATGGCTGAGGTGAAGTGCGCTGAACAACTGCTGTTATCCCTCATGGCTCTTCAAGATGACAGAAAATCAATCAGAAGTTCTTTCTTCTGCTATAGAATTCCGTTTCAGAGTATTCTGACCACTGAAACGCCAGACTTAAAGTAAATGGATTAGACCATACATCTTCTTTTAAAAAGTAGATTTTATTCATTTATTATCAAATTATACTATCGATTATATGTAGCAGAACGACACTGTCTTTGTGCCGGGGGGTGGGGGGGTGGGGGGGGGGATATGCGAAGAAATATAATAACACGATCTTTGCTTTCTTGAGGTTAGCTCTTATTAAAGGGCTGTTGGAATTTTTAATTTTCCATTGCTTAAAAAAAACATTTACTAGGTTGTTTGGGTGTGTGTGAAAAAATGAACACAGTAAAAATTGAAATGGTCTTGTTGTTCAGGTTGGATGTGCTGTTCGCTTAAGGCGGGGCCTCTTTTTCTGTTGGGCATATTGGAGAGGCTCTTTTGGGAAAGGTCGCAGCAGCTTTCAGATCTGGGAGAACCTAGGACATTGCTGTGAGCTTCTGGGGGTTGCTCTGATCTGTGTAGGGATGAAGAACCAAGTCCCAGAGAGGCAAAAACGCTATGGCTCCATATTCTTCGTAAACATCTGTGTGTTTGATAAGAATGGTCTTATGGGAGCCCCCTCACTCTAGCTTTATGGATGTATGCTCACAGACACAGAGCCTGCTGCACGGGAGGTACAGCTCGCCGGTCTGGAAGCTTGGAAGCTTTCTTTAGTGTGGCCTTTGGGCCTTGAGGTTGAATCTCAGAGCCCATCGAGTTTTGTGCCTTTACTAGAGACTGGTTGGTTGATCTACCTACTTTCTCTCTCTTTTTTTTTAAGCAAAAGGCTCTTGGTAATTTCACTTGGAATAAGCATCCTTAAAAGAAGTCATTAGTACGGTGCCCAAGATTTTCATTAGTAATGAGAGT